GGGGGGGGGCTACTCAGGCTATTGTTTGGGCTTCCAGTCGTGCGGAGAAAGTTAAATAATTATTGGCAGATAAGGGATTAGCTCAGTTTTAGACTGGGGGCCGGTAGTGTTTTTCTTGATACTTTTGGGCTAGAACACAATCCGTGCATTAAGATCGGCCTTATTAAATTGCCATCAGGTCCGAAGTCTATACGGCGCCTCAGTCTAAAGTGATTTTGGCATTTCGGAATTAATTAGTGATTCTTTGGTTCGAAAGCCTTGATACCAGATAAGGTTTTTTTCAAAAAATTTCTTCAGTAGATTCCTTTTTTTTTCAAAAGGGCTATAAGTTTATTTCTCTATCTCGCGGCCTAGCTGTAAAATGAACTTTTGATAGTTTGAAATGTTGCGTGTGAAAAGCTGAATAACGAAAGCCGATACTCCACGTGCTTTATCAGTATTTGCTCTGAGATGCATCTATTATGTTGTGCTGTTTGCTTGTGTGTTACTTACTGAATACTACTGACCATTATGCGGAGCTCTTGGTTACTGTCTGCCAAGACGGCGCTTTGCGAAGTCAACCGTGCGACTTCTGAAACACTATCTCATTCTGTTAAGGGTAATTTGACAAGGTTATTCCTAAACAAAGTATATAAGATATTGTGTTCTCTTGGTTACTGTCTTCGCAGACGCTTATCCCAGTACTCGCACAACGCGCACTTTTAGGGCATTCATTTTTGACAAGGGTATTCCTGAACAAAGTATGTGAAGAACTTCTCCCATGAAAGCGCTTAGTATTCGATATCAATAGGCAGAATTTCAAACACCTTGCAATACTGAGTAAGCTCTGGTTAGTTTGCTTGTCTGTGTTATACACATTTGCCTGGTGTGCGCATGTGTTCGTACTACCCACTCTCCTTCGTATTAGGGCTTAATGTGTCAAGTTTAATTAGTTGATGAAATATGCTGTAGTTTATAACAAGGGATGAAAAAGATCTAATCGTATGATTATGACGTTGTTATGGTTGTGAAACAAGCAGTTGCTAAGTTTTTAACCGGCTCCGTCAATTTACTCGTCTGTCTGTCACACACTTTAAGGTTTCGTTTCCTTGGCAATGGTCTCAGTTGAAGTATACAATCATTACTAATATGGCTTTGTCATGGCTTTCTTAGTTTCTCCGAGAGAGAAACTTCTAGATACTAATAATACGAGTGAAACGCCAACCGGATCACTCTACCTGTCTGTCTGTCACACCGCTTAAAGGTTTCCTTTTCTTGGCAATGGTCTCAGTTGGAGTATACAATCATTACTAATATGGCTTTGTCATGGCTTTTTGTAGTTTCTCCGAGAGAGAAACTTCTATATACTAATGATACGAGTAAAACGCCAACCAGGTCACTCTACCTGTCTGTCTGTCACACACTTAAAGGTTTCACGCTTTTCTTGACAATGGTCTCAGTTGTATACAGTCACTACCAATATAGCTTTCTTAGTTTCTTCAAGAGAGAAACACCTAGATACTAATGACACGAGAAAGACGCCACAACACCATTCACTAATCAGAAATACGACATGACCCACTCATATACCACGTGGCTTTCTCACACGTTTTCTTCCCGACGCAGCCTCGCGAACGTGACAAGAATATTTAAATATTGTTAAAACTTAATCAAGGAAGTTATCCARAGCCTGCTTCTGAATTTCAATTGCTTTAATTTAAATTAAATGAAGAGAAAAAAGTTTTTATCCAGCTGGCTGAGTAGAAAGAGATTATGGCGTCGAAATACTAAAAGCGTCTCAGGGGGCTAGGGAAACATTGACATTTCTAGTTCAATTATATCTAATTTATAAGGTCGTTCATATAAATCAGCTAAAATTCGCCACTTTTTCACTCTCGTAAGGGTATAACTGATCATTCGGAAATTCTATCTTCTGCTTCTGCGTTTTGATGTTTGATTTGAAATCATGATCACCAAACATAATGCCTTTTGAAGATATATTGTGTTTCGACCTAGTAAAAATTGATGTTTCGTTCACACGTACTACCTTCTCGTTACAGTATTTAACACCCACCCCCTTGCTTAGTGCGTGGTACAATATATCCTAAACATCTTTACTCTGATTAATCTTTAAAATTTTCCCCTATAGATATAGATATTTTGTCGAGTTTTGAAAAAAAGGAAGGAAAAAAAAAAAAAAAAGAAGAAAAGAAGAAAGAAAAACGCGCATTCACTGTTTACATCAAAATTTATTAAAAGAAAAAATATGAAATATCTTTTAACAGCCAAACAAACAAAAAGGAAATTAGCAAGACTGGCGGATACTATATAGTCATGTTAAACAAGGGTCGTGTACCTTGATTTTTTTCTTGGCAAAACTAAGGTCTCGGGCTACCTTAACGGCTTGAATCGTGCCTCAATACACGTTTGCAGATGCTAGCTTGATCTAGAATACTAAAGCCTGGTTCACCATCAAAACAACTTACCTCAACAATTAAAAGGTTTTTAATGGTATTTTGGGGTTTAACTCGCGTCCAGCACGTACGTTTGTGACATTTATTCCTAAAGGGGGAAATAATTTATTTACCAGTGAACTATAAACTGAAATATAAAAGTGATCACCCAAAGCCGAGCAAAAATTCTTTATTAGTAGAGCAACTGAGGAAGGTTCATCAGAGCATGTATGTGCGCGAGGGTTGAATTTGCTGAGATATAAATGAAAGCAGACTGATCAAGAATAAAGGAAACGAATAAAAAAATTAATGTTAAAAATTAATTAAGAAAAAAATCATAATTAAATGAAATCCAAACTTCAAACTTATCAAATTGCCACATAGAAAAAATAAAAAAGAGGAAAAGAGAATAGTTTGTCAGAATAAAAGAAAACGGTCAATGAAGTTGAAACTACCCGGCACCTGATCACAAAGAACTCTGTAGTTGTAAACGAGGTAGGCGTTGTATGATTTATTTGTTTCATTTTTGAAAAGAACTCTTCCAGGGACATGTTGCTATGCATATACACTGCTAAAGATAATAATTTTAGGTTTCTTTATTTTGTCCTGCGGTAAAGTAAGTTGAGTTAAATTAATTAGCGGTACACGTAAACTTGGTACGCAAATGTCTAACCAATTCTTGTGCTGTATAAATTTCACCATTTTCCAACGATTTTGTACTAACGCCTTAAAAAAATATTAGTGAGATCAAAGTGAAAGTGGGAAATCATATTAATCTGAATTCCTTCCTGTTTCGCCGGTTATTTAAGTTAATGCAGATTGCCGTAGGATTGTGATTCAGTGTCACTCAGACAGCTTTAAAATCACCGACGTTAGGACGAAATATTCATCAAGGGCTAGCTCACTGAAGTCCCCAAAACAAAGTGCCAACAAATTCCTGCCATATGCTCAATATAGCAGCTAGCTTTGACATGCTTTACTACGCATGCTCCATCTGAAAATCCATACTAAATATAATTTGGAAGTACATTTTGGAAAAAAAGCGGTTGGTCTTAGAAAAGTACTGACACGAAAACACACGAAAAATCCTATTAAAAGTAGAATGAAAGGGAGGCATGAAATTTTTAATTTTACCATAAATTACTAAAATGTTAAGTATCTGTCATGCGGATCAGTGCAAGAGGAGAGGAGGGCGTGTAAAAACGTGTACTTATCCACGACCATTCTCTAAGAAGGTGATAAGACCAGGAAATATATATCTTCATCAAAGCTTTGATGTATCAGTTATTTCAGTCGCTTTCTCAAAACATCTCAATTATTGTATGGGAACCTAGCTACTGTGAAGATTTGATCGTGGTTGGCTGTGCACGTGCTTGCAGTCATGTTAGTTGCCATCAGCTGTCTAAGACCCAGGATTGTCAGTGCTTCTGCTTATGCAAATGATTCTACTTTCATCTACTCCCCTGAAATGTTTTGTCTCTAAATATTGAACATTTCCTTTTGCTTCCTCAACTCCTCAGAAAGTAAGCGCACTTGGTTCAGTTCTTTCCGTTCACGGCTATTTATTTTCTACTTCACCTCTGTCTCTCCGTTTTTAAGAATATTAAGTCTCTTGAGGCATGAGCCGGCTTATCAGAGAGTAAAGCTGTCTATTTTCTCTTGTCTTTGGGGTTAAAAAACAAAAAACATTTTTTTCGGAAGCAACGGTTTTTTAATAACATAGCAATGGCGCAATAGAAATAACTAGACTGTAAATATCGCATGCTGCTAGAGAAAGTCAGTGGCGTTTTTGTCCTGAAACTTAAACAAAAATACAGTGTTAACGGGGGTTTGTAGCCTGTGCTAAACAAATTATCTGAGGATTCTTCTCTTATGGATACTTCAACAGGAGAACATTCCAACACCATTCAGTTTATGGAGGAAAACCTAACAACAAAGGACCAAGACTTTAAATGTAAGTATTATAATTAGGGAAAGACTAGGTTTTAAATATAATTCCATGTTTCACTTGATATCTTTCTTAAATCCACATCAGCCTGAGGTTAGAAATTCAAAATCTAAAATCTTGTGAAAATCTCTACATCTGCAAAGCACTTTACTGAACTCATTCCAGGGCCGGCCAACGACATCTTTGACGTTAAATTTTAAAATCACTAACTCACAAGTTGAATAATCAGTCAGTAAAATTAAAGTTTTATTTGAAAATATCTTTATTTTAATTCACGAAAAGATAGATCGAAGACAAACTGAAATACTGATTCTGAATAATTCAGTACTGTTCATACACCTGTCTGTGAAGGTTTTTAAAATGTTTGTTCAATGAATCATCACAAATGAATGTATTTGTAAAGCAATCAATCTGTATAGTTAATAGGCCTGATACTAAAAGGCAATTTAATCGTTATCTTGTATGTAACTCTCCTAAACAATTTTTCTACTCTAGTTACATGATTGATTACATTAAAGGGGGCCTTAAACTGAACCACAGCTCGTCATCAGTTCTAAATTTTACTGATAATGATATGGTCAAGCAAATTTAGTTAGTTTTGTAGTTATTTCAAGAAAATAGCCTGCCAAAATGCATTCCAATTTTCATTAATGATATTGTCTATCAAACTTACTTTTGTAGTTATTTCAAGAAAATTTAGTTTTGAAAGGGATGGAGACATTTTTTCAATATATTTGTCCTGTCTGAAAGTTAGAAACTTTTTTGTTATACTGATCCCCCCCGTCTTTCCAGCTTAGCACGAGTCTGCGTAAGAAAGCACTTGTTAAACCTTACTACGTGACTGGCATAAATCAATTCCTGCAAGTCTGCCTGCAGATAAGCCTTCTATGAATAAAAAGCCTTTGCATATTTAAGTCGACGCGTGTGTCTGGAACATAATATCTGGTTGACTGGTCCTTGGCTATGAAATATAGCACGGTTAATCATAGAGAATAGTGATAATAGAACTAGGTATTTAGTTTTCTATGTCTTGAATCAAGATAACAAGAAGTGCTGGAAAACTGGGTGAATAAAAATGGTCAAAATGCTGCAAAAATATAGACAGATACATGGATAAAGATAGCATTGTATAGATAACGTTAGACGAATCCATTAATTCATGTCTCAGGGCGTGTCTTCGGTATCTCAAAAGTAACCATAGAGTCAAAATTGCTTCAGGCGCACAACTCATAATCGGCGGACCTTATGTAAGTATTGCCCAAGAGACTGCAAAACGGGGCGGGAAGGGGTGAGGGCGCTGGGGGGCTATAGCTTTCCCACTTTACCTTTCCCCATACTATAGTCTCTTGTATTTCCCTATCTTCCCCCCCCCCCCACTTCCCACTTTTTAGGGTGGTCCGCGGTCCTTGCGCCCGCGATTCCTAGGGATTTCCAAGTAGGATATCCTTCACGTAGGATCTTTACTTTTGGTGGGTGTGTCATATAAGTCTGGACCAGTTCCTTGCCTTTCTCTTTGGTACAGGAAAGATAATAAAGCAGAATTCAGTTATGAAGATGACGATAGGGATTTGGRGATATCCGTTGAACCAGCCGGAGCACATGGATTCACTTTTCATCCAAATGAAAGTATCGACACAAAACGGTCACGGTATACACACATCACGTCCTCAGTTGTCATACATAATTCTACTGATACGAGTAGTAAGCAGTCTCATCTGGACACTTTGCATACTGAGTTATTTTAGGATTCGATAGGCTAACAAGAAAATACGAATTACATCACAGATTCAAAGAAAGATGTCGAATTTCGTCTTTATTTTCCTACGTTCCGTTTTTATTTTTTCTTCTGAGTCTGAACGAAGTAAACCCAAAAGACAAAGCCGGTGATTTCGGTTTTGTTAGTCTTTTTAATCTTTTGGCTGTGCAGCCAGGCTCTCTTGTCGCGGGGGCTTGGGACAGGAAAGCCGGGAAAGGTAAAAAACTCGGGCTGTTTTACTTCTGTTCATACGGGAAAGTATTCAGTAATATTAGGTCTGAGTCCCTCAGTTTCTTCACTTTATGTTAAGAACAAAACACCTTGTGTTGAAAAGAGTTAATCGCGTCCCCACCTCATTCAACCCAACCCCACCCCAACCGAACCTCCATAGTAATCTTTATTGATATCGATGTCATACTGGTATTCATGAATTGGAAAACTAAATTAATGTTATATTGATAAACCCAATGCGATGCATCACACAGATAAAGTTAGGAAAAAACATGGTCAGTGACTTTTAGTTTATAGCTTCCATGCAGAGATATGGTAAAATCAGTCATGAATTAACCCATAACAGTGTTCCGACCGACGCACTTTGATAGCTCCGATAAAGCCGTTTTCAGCCCCCATGGCCAACTTGACAAAGAAAATAAAACAACTTGTGCGTTTGAAAAAATGATTCATTCACCAGATAACTTTCTACAAATAAGACGTGGTATAATACAATATATTTGTTGAAGGATTTTTCATTCTGACGAGAGTTACAGACAAACCAGGAACTTTATTTCCACTAAAGACAGGTGAAAAATTCATAATTCATGAAAATAACTAAGAAACTAATAACTGTTATTTCAAATTGATATTTTAATGCATGTATCTAACACATTTCAATTTGTTTAATGATGAAATAAGCACATATGTCTGGCATCGACTCAATATAGTATAGTAATTATTAATGAATCTGCGCCAGTTGTGTTGATAGGATATCAAGTCTTTAAGTAAAAACTTGAAAACCTAATCCTGAATTCTAATTGTTCCCACAGCATGCACAACAATGATCAGTTCATAATCGTCCAGCATGATAAAAAAATTACGTGYGTTTGATATTGTTGATAACTGATTTAGTTGGGGCATTTTGCATGAACCGCCAGACCAAATTCAATAAATTACTTTAGCCTCCCGGATCAAATGACTGGATAGCAAACCTCAAGCTTTACTGCCACTTACGAAGTAAAACAGAATTTGTAATATCTTCCTTGTTTTGATATACGGAGTGGGGTCTTTTCAGCGCTCCAATAATTAAGGAAATGTTATGGTTATCATTTCGTTTAGGTGCATTCTGTGGTTATCATTGCCTCTTCGGTATGAAACATCAGCTTTCGCAAAAAGACTTTTAATTCTTCAGTAGGTTGACAATTAGATTTCTTGCTTAAATCTGTCACGATAARRATATCAGAATTCGTTAAATCTGTCACGATAAAAATATCAGAATTCGTTATAGGTTATAGGGAAGAAAATGTCAAAATTTACCCTACTCTACAGTCGTCATTCTGAATAGACAATAAATACGGTGTGGGTGGGGGTGGTCCGCATTAACGACTGTGAATTGCCCTCCCCTCCATCCCTCGGTCTTTATTCGAAGCTAAGTTAACATGAAATCCTAAATAATTAATGATTCAATATTATAGAAACTGACAGATATTGGTTCTAATAGGCTGTCGCTAATTCCGTTTACATTGGAGGT